ATTGTTCATCAAAATAAGGAAATTGAAGATGGAGGATGGCAACTGAGTTTTGTAGTTATGATCCGATTCTATTCAAAATTTGTATCTGGGTGTTTTCGGGGTCGGAGAAGAATTAGAAAACAAATGAATATGAGTATGTTGATAAATATTTAACTAAAAAAATATTTTCTGGAAATAATTGTATATAGCAGAACAACGTTTGCCGGGTATCAGCTATTGTAATAAATATTAGTTTGAAAAACTAATGAAACACCTTTTTATAGATAGCCATACTAAAGAGAAGTGAGTAGAAAATAAAGAGTAGTTTGAAAAAATGAAGAGGTATAGAGAACCGAACCAAAAAGAACTAGAAAATAAATAGAGTAGTTTGAAACGGCCTAGAATTTGTCACTGAATTATAATTATATAAGTAGACCTGAAAATTTAAACATACAAATTCAGCAGAATTTCTTCAATTCTATTCATGAGATCGATAATTATGTCAGCATATAGATGGAAATAATAGGAATGGCACAGTTGTGGAACAAACTTCAAAAAGCTTTGTTAATCTGTGTCAAAAGTTCAGGTTATTTCACTCTAAAACTCAAGCAAAAACATTCGTCTCAGAACTCTCAGAGTACAGTTCTCAGATTTTGGATCCATTGATATGACGATATTCACAAAGGATAATACCGCCACGGCAACAAAACAAAACTGAGCGAGAAATCGTTATATGTCTCTCTCCCTCCCGCGGCGAACCGGGGGGATATTCATTGGTCGCGCGGTGATTCCCCGTCTTTCCGCAGTCCGCCACGTGCCACTTTGAATTGCGTGAACTTCAGATGAACTTCATTTTAAAATTCCTCATACAATAACTTTGTGAGTTTTATATCAGCATGAACATAATTTTCTTATATTTTTTTCATTATAATTCGATTTTTAAATGATTTAAAAAAACCAACTGAGGTGATCCATCTTACAGTGGAGTGTAGGCAATAGGACAGGAGAAATTCATACAGTCTACTCCACCAAAACGATACTTTAATGTAATATCAATTCAAAGGGGGGACATGTTTCGAAGCTTCAAAGCTTCATCATCAGCTTTAATAGTTACATAGGAGCACTGAAGAGAAAAAAGGTGAAATGTCAGACTAAATACTTCAACAACGATAGTTCTACTAAAAACTCACCTGTTGTGGAGGAAAAAAGTTGTGTTTACATATTAATTATAACCAAAAAAAGTAGTGAAGAATAAATTACAGTTACATGGAAAAAAGTTTTTTAGGGCCGCAAACTGCGGAACACCTTTGTTAGGGTACGGTGAAGTGAAACATCGTTGTAGTAAGGTTAACAATCCAAAAACTCTAAATTAAGTAATCATCTAAACATGCCGAAGGTTAGATGAGAAATGAGGAGTCAATCTGTCAAATATGAAATTGAATCTCAGAACAATTCAGAATTAAATACAGAACAGAAGAGGAATGGCATTGACACGAAGTGACAGAGAGTGACATGGGACATCAAATAGTAATAATAATAATAATAATATTTATTTACCACACAATAGGTCATAGGACATTGGAAAACAAATATGGTAAATAAGAGGTAACCCACAAAGGGATGAATCCCTGTACGTGGGTGGAGCTATGTTCAACTAGTGAATAGTAAATAGTAAATAGTAAATAGTAAATAGTAAATAGTAAATAGTAAATAGTAAATAGTAAGTAGTAAATAGTAAGTAGTGAATAGTAAATAACAGTAATAAAAATAATAACAATGATATTACAAAAACAGTGATAACATTCGAGAATTGTGTGAATGGCCATAATGCTAACATATCATTTAAGAACAGAGTTGCGATGTTTAGATTTTTTGTTTACTTAATTATTGTAAATATTTTTTCTGTCTATGAGTTGGTGTATTTTTCTTCTGGAGGTACTTCGAATCCATAGTTTGAGTTTTTTTTTGAATAAGTTGATTGAGTGGATTCGATGCATCTCAACTGGGATTTCGGCATACATAATCGGACTGAGGTAAGTATAGCATCGTTGTGCTAATGTTTTTGTTACTTTAGGTATCATTGTGGTTTTTTCTTTATATCTGGTAGAATATTTATGGTCTATTTTTTGCAACATGTGCTTCTCTTTGTAGTGCTTGATAATGATGCTCTGAAAATATAACTGCCTTGCATCAAAAACATTGCTCTCTTCGTATAATGCTTCGCTCGGGTAATCAAAAGTTTTATTATATATAATTTTCAGGATCCACTTCTGGGTAGTTTCAAGTTTTTTTATATGAGTATTAGTCACGCCTCCCCATGCCAGAATACCGTACGAGATATGTGGCTGAACTAATGCATTGTATAAAATTTCCAAGTGCTTTACGTCGAATATGGTCTTAAAAAACTTGAAGGTACTCACAAGTGACCTCAGTTTCCTAACAATATTATCAACATGATAATTTCATTTCAAATTGGAGTCAATGAATATTCCAAGATATTTCATTTTAGATTTTGATTGTATTCTTGAAGTAGAGTGGAGTGACACGATTTCAATTGTTTCGAAGTCAGGTAGCATATAAGAATTACATGCAAAAGGCATAAAAAAAGTTTTGTCAGAGTTCATAGTCAGTGTTCTGTTGTTGAACCATCCAACTATTTTTGGAAAATCATTCTCTGTTATTTCTTTCAGTTTCGACCAAGTATCCGCTTGATAGACCACCGCCGTATCATCGGCAAAACTGACAATGTCGCCAGAAACTTCGAGATTGTATAGATCATTTATGTATATATTGAAAAGCAGTGGCCCAAGAACAGTCCCTTGAGGGACACCAAACGCCATAGTTCTAGTTGAGCTCACTTCTTCTCCTATCCTAACTTTATATTGTCTGTTCTCTAAGTAGCTTGCCATTAGGTCGTAAGCTATTCCCCTAAATCCAATTTTTTCCAAGGTGTGTAGTAATTTTTTGTGACAAACGGTGTCGAAAGCTTTTGCTAAGTCGACAAAGATGCATAGAGAGGGCTTGTTTTTATCGATTAGTTGGTATATTCTCGAAATTAGGTGTGTCATTGCATCTTCCGTGGACTTACCCTGCCTGAACCCATACTGATGGTTTTCCGAAATCAGTTTATGCTTGTCAAGATAGCCAGTTATTCTTTTCTTCAGTATTTTTCCAAATATCTTTGCTAAGCAGCTTATTAAACAGATAGGTCTGTAGTTTAGAACGGTCTCTTTACTCCCACCCTTGTGAATAGGTTTTATAATAGCTTCTTTGAATGCTGTAGGAAATTTTCCCGACCTGATGGCTTTATTTATCAAATGAGAAAGGGGGTGTTTAATAAATTGGCAGATAGATTTCAATATTTCAGGTCTCAAGCCGTCAGGGCCGGGAGCCTTTTTCAACTTCATTGTATTTATAATTTCTTCAACCTCGGTTTCGTTGGTATCTGATAGATATATTGAATTATTTAAATAGCTCTCAGGGCACCGATAGTTTGGATCTATTGGTAATTTGTTTGCAAGTTTTTCACCTACCGTACTGTAATGTTCAATGAACGACTCTGCAATATCTAGATGTTCCTTTATTATATATCCCTCCGGTGTTTTAATCTGTTTGACGTTTTCTTCTTGAAACGATTTTTTGTTCTGTATACGTTTAATGCACTTCCATAAGTTATTGGGGCAGTTTTTATTTTTGTGGAGTTGCTGCTTATAATAATCAGCTTTTGTTTTCAATATGAGCTCCTCTAGCTTATTTTTATATTTTTTAAAATCTCGTTTCAATACTTCGTTCCCAGGATCATTTTGTAATTTTTTGTACATTTCCGTTTTCACGTTAACTGATTTGATCAGCCCCCCAGTTATCCACTCATTTCTACCAATTTCTTTTTTGTTAATTTTTTTAATATAAGTAAATTTTTTTATTGTACTATGCAATACACTGACAAAATCATCAGTGGCCTTGTCCAAGTCGTTTTCAGTGAGTATATGTTCCCAAGTTGCATTTCTTAATGAGTTTACTACTTTAGATTCGTTCAGTATTTTTATGAATTTTCGGTCGCTTGCGCTGTTGCCTTTTTCACTCGGAGGATATTCTATCTGAAGTATTGTTGGAAAGTGGTCAGTTACATTGACTTCCAGGACTATTGGATTGAAGAGGCTATATGATTTCGAAGTTTTGACAAAGATATGATCTATACAAGAAGAACTTTGTTTGAAAATTCTTGTATGTATATTAATCGCTGAGATGTAGTCCAATTCCCCTAGAGAGTTGAGATATTGTTCTGTGGATTCATCATTGCTATTCAATAAATTAATATTTATGTCTCCTAGTAGAATTTTAACTTCCGCTATTTTGTATTTTTCAGATTCTAGGTAATTATAAAGGTTAGTAATGAAAGAGGTTTGAGATGTTGACGGTGGTCTATATACGCAGTCAATAACAATATTCTCATTTCCAAAGTTTATTACGAAGTGTAACATTTTGATATCATCCAGAGGAATAATTTCATAGCGGTAGTTCAACTCACTTTTAATATAGACAACCACCCCATCATTTTGGTTAATGTTGCCGTTATTATATATCATGTCATATCTTGGAATATTTAACAGAGTGGAGTTTACAATTTCGAAAGTTTCAGTGAAAACAATGAGCTCAAAATCGTTTTGAATTTCATCAATGAGTATGTTCATTTCATCCCTGTTTTTCATGATACTCCTGATGTTATTATGGAAAATTTTAAATGTGTTTTGGTCACTTTTCAGTAACTGATTACATTCGTTGACATTTCTGGCTTTATTTGTTTTCAGGATGTTTGGCACAAAATGTTGAATGTATGGGTCCATTTCTATAAACTAGATCAGCACTTACCGATATACGGTTATTAAGGATAAAGGATATAAGTTTCCTACACTGCCATCAACTAGGAAGATTGGAGTTTTTTGCACATTATGCCGAAGAGTCCATTCATATTCCTCATTTTCTTCTACGCCGCATTCCTTATTAAGGTTTCTTTTGGGTTCTCAAGCTTCTTCCCTGTGCAATACTTTCCTTCGGGGTCTCTGCTGTTGAGGTTTGGGCAGGAACTCCTCTCCAAAAAACTTTTTCAATTCTTCCTTCGGGTTTTTTGACTCTGCTGTGGTAGATCCCTTTTTCAGTACTTCTTTCTCACTTTCTACTTCAATGTTGTCTTCTTTTGTCTCTTTCTCTGCCTCTTTCTCCCTTTCTATTACTGGTAGGTTTTCTTCTCTTTCGATTTCCTTTGGGAAAGGTGTAGGAGGTTTACTCACCACCCTCCTTTTAGTAATTGGCGAGAAATCACTTTCTTTCTGATATAATTCCTTCGAGTTTTCAATATCTGCTGCTGTTAATGTTTCGCCTTCTACTATCAGTTTATTTCGTGTCAAAAATGCCGTTTTGTTGTTTGACCTAGCTTCTTTCAGCGCCCCTAATAGAATTTTTCTTTCTTTCTGTTCTTCGTCTGTTAGGTCTTCGGTAATCACTATTTTGGTTCCTTTCAACTTTGGTCCGTTTCTCAAAATTTCTTGTCTTCTGATTTGAGAACCGAGCGAAACAAGTATAGGTCTCTTTTGTCCTGTCTTTTTTCCTAGTCTGAAAATGTTATTTATTTCGATTCTTTTTATCTCCACTTCTAGTTTTATTGCTGTCAATTCGGAAAAAGTATTGATCAATTTTTCTTGGTTTTCGTCTTCGTTTTCTTCAATGCCGTAAATTACAAGATTGTTGAGTTTAAGCTGCTTCTCAAATTTAGATACTTTATTTTTTAGTGTAACATTTTCTTTTTCGAGTATTTCGACTTTATTCCTTGTGATTTCCACTTCTTTGCAGACAGCTGTAGACAAACTTCTGGTAGTCTCTTCTAACACTTCGATCCTTTTACCCATATTCTCATTTACTCCTTTCAGCAGTAGATAAACATCTTTGATGGATACTTCTGTATCTTCCATATCAATTTCTAAGTGTGCGCTACTGGTGACCACAATATTTTATTTCTTTATCTTATAAGAACACTATTGCTTTTTATTGAGTCTATTGTCGGTATTTCGCGGTAAAACGATTTTTAATCAAGAGTTCAACAAACTTCACTATTTAATTTTTGTTTTAACAGTCATTGTATAGTTCACCACATTCTGCACATTTTGATATAATTTTTCGGTTTATTCATTAAGAATTTTCCACTGATATTCAATTTATTCAGGAAGGTACCTTACCCACACCAAACTTAACAAACATCCCAAACTTAACAGTGAACAGAAATGTGTAGACAATGAAAAGGCATAGAGATGGGGGAGTGTATTGAGAACCGAGGTGGGCCTAAAGTGAACTTGAATAATAGTGGTGACTGAAGAAGAAAAGATTTAAAAAAAGTTGACCAATAAAACAAAATGGATTGTGCGAGATATAGAAAGCATATGATGGCAAATCAATTTCTCACCGTTATGTTGAAGACCGAAACCAGGGAATCCTGGAAACTTTGGTACGATATAATCACACTCACACTATATACTGTTTTATCACTATCAAACAGAATTTTTATCAACTCGACAAACTTTATTACCTAAAAACATTCGCTGTCTAAGATAGACTAACAAAAACTTTTGAGATGGTGTTCGCTTGAATCTCCTAATTTTGACAAATGATTCAAAATCTCCGACCCCTGAAACACCAGTAAAAATTTTGAATAGAATCGGATAATAAAATTAGAAAACTTGTCCGCTTTAATGGATCTGCAATCCTGAATTTCCCAATTTTGACGATAGAATCATAATCTCCGACCCCAAACACCCTTATATAAATTTTGAATAGGATAGAATCATCATCACATAACTCGTCCGCCATATTGAATCCGTCATCTTGAATTTTTTCATTTCGGGATTCATAATCTCCGACCCCAAAAAACCCCAGATACAAATTTCAAATGGCATAGAATCATAATTACGAAACTCGTGCGCCATATTGGTGGAGCCATGATGAAAGAATCATAATCTCCGACGCCGAGAACCCCCAGACACCAATTTTGAATAGAATGGGATCATAATTATTATAAATAAAACTCGTCAGCCATCTTCAATATCCTAATTTTCACGAAAGAATCATAATCTCCGACCCCGAAAACCTCCATATACCAATTTAGAATAGAATCTAATCATAATTACAAAATACAAAATACTACATAATATAAGATGAGATGCGATACTGCACCCTTCAAATTTATTGCTATTCATTGACCTCGCGATAACGGGACACGGAACGGGTCGTGACGATGACGCGAAATCCAATGTTTTTCTCCACCCAAAAAAGTGCTCAACGCGCCTAGAAGTTCTCACTTCGAAAAAATTGTTTTTTTCATGAGTGCAATTATGATCGAGATTTGTATTACAGCAAGCAGGTCTGAATTAGAGAACATGAAATTTGAATCAAGGATTTCTTTCATTCTACACACTGTATATATCAATATAACCCTTATATCAGTAATAGCAGTGTGAATTCGTAAGAATGAAGATATTTGAAACTAGGCAATCGTCTACGTATATACCCTATACAGAAAACAAGAAATTTCTATTTATAGCCATCTGAACTTGATAAAAAATTCTTGCACACATTATTTCAACAATGATTTCGATCCCCATCCTTGGAAGTTTTTCTGGCGACGCCAATAATGATAAGTTATATTAGTAGGAAATGAAATTAAAAAGGAAAAGAAATATTCGAAAGACTACTTGTGAAGACAGTTTCAAAAATGACTCATGACATAAATTTTCATTGTAGCGAGATATAGGTATTTGCTTGACTTGAATGGAGTGAAAAGTGGAATCATGTTGAGCAGGCCCGTGGAGCAGTAGCTCTGGCAACACTGCACGTACATAATACAATTACCTACGATTCCATTCAATTGTGTGCCACCTATTGGTGACCTGCTGTAACAGACGAAATCGAAGAACTCTACAATAGCTGTGAAAGCTGTAATTTAATTATTTTATTCCGATTTCGACATCACACTGACACCTAGAAATAGTTGTTGAACTAGTATATATATATAGGCTATATTCGGTCGGAAAGCTGTAGCGAAAGGCCCGCCTTAAGGCTCTATAATTCCCGTGATACATAGATAATTTTATTTCTGACTGATTTCATTCATTAGATACCTTCCCGATTGGAAGTTAGACATGTTTTTCCGTATAGTTTCAATGTCATCAGAACGTCAGATGATGATCTTGACTACCGCGAATAGGGGATTCCTTATTGCTACGTTATTGCGTGGTTGTTGCTATGCATTTCTTATTTAATTTCAGAACATCCCAAGGGAGTTATGACCCTCATTATAGATATCGTAACTATGACGATATAAGCTTATAATGTCACTGTGAGAAATAAAGACATTTATACGTACATACAACACTAGAAATTCAAACAACATACAAATAAACTGCTTTCAGAAGTACCTACGCATGAACTTTACTTTATTTTACTTTTCAAAGGTTTCCAGAAATTCAATGAATTACCGGAAAAATTAGAAAAACGATGTTTGCAGCAAATGTAATGCAAAATGATTCATTTTTGAAACAAATCAAAGGGTTATTATCATAATATCGATTTGATATTGAAATTTAAATATCAGTGGAACATTGGCTCATGAATATTTCGTGGGTTGCATCTATCTAAGATTAGACTGTTATTAAAAAAAAAATATTATTTTAATAAATGAAATACAATATTGAAGAATCTATTCGCGAATGATATACATGGTGTTTCAAGAAAAGATAGCCCTGTTGCTAGGGTAGGTAGAACACTAATAACTAATTTTGAATTGACTCGGCCGTTACTTGATGGAAATCCATGGCAAATTTAAAAACTTACAATATACGATACAATATTGTACAGGGTCTCTATAAATGATCGTAGCATCGTAGTGACCTTTGAAATAGTGCCGCTTTCCTGTTAAGAAGATCGAACTATAACTCATCCGGTCAATTCAACGATTGTCAACAACGTAAGCAGCCACTACGATGCTACGATCATTTATACATTTATAGAAACCCTGTACCAGTATATCACGTGACGATGCTACTGTGTCAGCGAAACATGTCGTCTGTTTGAGAATTTTGTGGAAATCTTATCGTTTGTGAAGTTTTTACATTTACTAATTAATAAGTTGGGTCTGCCCAGTAACAATACTTTTATATACATTCATGATTATGTCGAAACTACAGGCAACATTGTATAGGTACTTAATGACATTTGGTATGAATTCATTTCGGGAAATGACCCATCGAATGAATTCGTCTTTATATCTGACTGTCATAAAATAATAAACTGGTCAACATTGATAACGTCGTGGTCCAAAATATAGTCTGAATTCAAAGTAGAATAACTCATGAATTTCTTAATCGATTTAAAATCGGTTTTCACCGATCATTAGCCTAATCTCTTGAAAGTTTGTTGTAGCCATATAAAACTTCTGTAATTTCAGATAACATTGCTACAGGGTGATAATTGAGTGGGTGTAAAATTGCATCGTGGTTGTCCCCTTACCGTTTGAACAAATAATTTTGTTAATTTTTTTTATCACCGGAATCCTTTTGATTGATGCTTTCTCGCGAAACGTTTTCGGAATTTTCAGATTCAGAGCTTTTATAATCTTGTTATGAATATTCATTCAAAATGATGCATTTTTTCGACGATTAATTGAATGAAATTGGAAATTGAAATTCTCTTTCGAAGAATCAACGTTGTATGTATAGTCGTCAGATATGTGATTGTGTTCGAACACAAAAAATTCTGAAGAAGCCTATACAAAGTGATACAAGAAATACTGAATTATGAAATGGAGAATAACGTAGTCTTCAGTAGATGAAACATAATTTTCTTTGTGTTACTAGTGAAATAATGGGGTGTTACTTTGTCATGAGGATGTCTGGTGTGTGACCTCGAAACGGTTTTGTGATTTCTCGGATGGCTAGTGATTCACACGAGACCAACGAGACGAGACTTCCATAAAGTCTCGTCTCGTCTCGCGGATGAAATATGAAGTCTTGTCTCGAGTCTCGTCTCGCACCCTCGAGTCTCGTCTTGTCTCGCGTCTCGTACGAGAGTCTCGCAAATGTATCGCATTTCGTCATGCATAATCTTGTTTCAGTCTAGTACGGGATATTTACCTTCACCTACTTTTCAGGTATAATGTAGAAGTAGGAAGAGAAAATAACAACAAAAATAACATTTTTTGAGAAGGAACATTCTCAGATATATTTATGGACACAAAAAATGGATATATATTATATAAAGAAATACATTGAGAATTCGCATTCTCTATGTGATGAAAATATTAATTCTTTCTCGGTTTATTCAAAAGAAAACAACTACTTTCCTGGCTATATTCCACGACGAATATTGAATTACATCTATATCTATTGAACATACACGATAAGAATTTGAGAACAAAATCTTCTGAAGTAGAGAATTTGCATTCTCCTTCATATAAAGATATGCATATAATGTAATTCTGAATATTCAACAGAAAACAACTATACTTTCCTGGCTATTTTCCACGTCGAACATTGAATTATATTAAACTTGAACGATGGAAACTTGTTATTTTTATAGACCTCAATTGCAGATTCGTGATTTGGTTTTTCTCAATTCAGAATTTCTTTCCACGTCCTGTATGATGAATGTCAACTTATCATACATCCAAAAAATAATTTTTTTTATTGAAAAGTAAGTACCTAATACCATACTAACATCATAATATACATCTAAACAAGAGAAAAAACATAGCATTATACAGGGTGTTTCCGAAATTGGGGTAATAAACGAAATGGGGTGTTCGATCACACATTATGACACGATAAATGGCAATAAAGAACATTTCTAGAGCTAACGAAAATTTTCAAAATATTGATCATTTTACTCACCATAGTTTGGAAAGCACAGGTTTGGTTCCGTTGTA